AACCCAAAAAAAAAAAGAGAGAGAGAGAGAGAAAATGTAACCCAAGTCGTGCTAAATTACAGGAAACATCAAGAATCCAGATTGGAAAGGTGGCAGTGGCACGGGAGCAGGCGAGCATAGAAATTAGAATACTGACCAATCATTGATGGGACATCTGGCGGTCTAATTATGCAAGCAAGGACTGGTGATTGGTGAGCAGGGTCACGTGAACATAACAGCCCCCCGGGCCCCGCGCCAGTCCACAAGGACAGATCCTCAGTTCCATCATCATTACACAAAACATATATCCCCGCACTGACGGATGTGATCGATTTAGATCGCCATGTCAGACTCAGTCAACTCACCCTAACGACTCAGTAAAAATCGCATCACATTTTTCTTTTTCATTTTTTTTACTTTTCTGAATAAGAAAATTGTCATTACAAAATCAAAATAAAAATATATTCTTTTACTATTTACATTATTTTATATTGTAAAATAGAGATTTGTTAAAATATAAAAGTTTTTATCAATAATTAGTTAATTTAAGTAAAAAATAATAATTTTTTAAAAATAAAATTTAAAATTTAAAATTTATAGATAAAAAAAAAGTGTCGATAGAGCTTTCTTTTATCAAATACAGTTAAACTCCAAATTTATTTTTTATTAGATGCAGTTCAACTTTAAATTTATTAAAATTAATGAAATAATTAAGATTAAAATAAAAAATAAAAGTTTTTAATATCAAGAGGTCATCTCCTTTTTAAAACTAGTATTTTATTGTCTAAGTTGTAATCAATATTTTTGTAAAATATATAATTTTTTTATTTTATGATTCAAATAGAAATTAAATAAAAAAATAAATTTTAAGATTAGTATTTTATAATTTGAATTATAAAATATTTATTTAATTTTTAATATTATTATATATATTTTAAACAAATTACAATTAAACTTATTATACTAAAAGAGAATAGAAAAGGTAGATTCCCAAGAAGGCGAATTTTCAACCTAAGATGGTGTTTGTCCTATGTATGAGAAACTTAATACTCCTATATTTAGAGTTTAATAATTTATATTATATAATTTAATACAAGTTGTGAAATAATTTCTTAAAAAAAAAAATCTGAGTCAACTGCTAAAATGTTTTTGACCTCACGTTCTATGTTCGGACCATCTTAATCAAACTAATATGCCAACGTAGGTAACAAAACGATAAGGACAATGGACAAATGGCTTGGCTTTGTTGTTAGTCAGCTTGACCATGACCATCGCTTTCTTCATCCCCAACTAAACAGACATTGCACATCAAGGGTAGCTCTTTGTTGCTTCTTCCAATAAAATTCCAAAAACATAAATTCATCATCTTTTCCATATGGATTAATCAAAAAGGCAATCCAATTGTTGAAATTTGATCGAACTGAAGTTTTGATTGAGTTTTGTTCACAAACAATTCATGAGATTTATTTGGATTGTAATATGATAAGTTAATTTTCTTAAATTCAAACTTAATTCAAGTTCAACACTTACTTAATTATTAAGGCTTTATTTATTATTGTTATGAGTGATTTTTTATTTTAATTTTTATAAATTTTGTGATTTTAAATAAAAAAATTCATTTATTTTTATATATTTTTATAATATATTATTGTGATTATTAAAAAATAAAAACAAATATAGTTATTAATGTAAAATTTATATAAAAAATTATTATTTAAAACAATTTTGATTTCATTAAACACTATTTATATTTTTTATTATTAGTATTAAAAGTGTCATAAACAAATTATATATTTTTTAATTTTAATTCTAATTTTTAACAATTACAAAATTTATAAAAATTAAAACCAAAACTTATACTAAACCAGCCTAAAATTTTGGCAATTGTGGTTACCAACAGGTTACATGCGGAACTACCAACATTTTGTGAAAGAGTTGGGTTTACGCAAATGATTTTTGCATAATTTTTTTACCTTATTTTTTTATATAATTTGAT